GTTTTGTTTTTTGGTACCTTGTACTTACAAGGCAGGCGGCGGCGGCCCCACTGAGCTAAATCCCCAGCCCTAAAATGTAGCTTTTGAATAGACCTGAAAAGAGCTTTTAAAGCAACTCTTTTGGCTAGTTTTAATCTTTGGTTTTTTCAGACAGGGTCTCACTATGTAGTTGAGATTGACCTGGAACTCACTATGTAGCCCAGGCTGGTCTCGAACTCACAGTGATCCTCCTGCCTCAGGCTCCCGAGTGCTGAGATTACAGGTGTGCATCACCACGCCCAGCTGGCTAGTTTTAATCTTGAAAAGAATTAAAGTATAATTGAACAAATTAAAGTACTGTATAATTGATACATGCTAAACTACACCCCGCTACTGTTAGTTATCTTATAAGGAGATTAAAATGAGCATAAGTCTTCTGTCTTTCCAGTGTTCTTTACTCTGTGTAGATTCGAATTAACATCTAGTATTACTCTTCCTCCATCTGAGAACATCTGTTAACATTTATTGTACAACTTATCTGCTGGAACAAATTATTTTGGCTTTTGTTCATCTGAAAATGTTTTTATTTTATCTTATTTTTGAAATTTATTTTTCCTGGGTTCTGAATTCACAAAGGTTTGTTTTCCTTCCTTCCTTCCTTCCCTCCTTCCTTCTTTCCTTCCTTCCTTCCTTCCCTCCTCCCTCCCTCCCTCCCTCCTTCCTTTTTTCACCCTTTCTGCAGTTTCAAGAAGTAATTCTATTGTCTTTCAGTTTGTTATTTCTGATGCAGAGTCTTATATGGTTTTCCCTATGGATAATGCATTATTTTCAATCCTTTCGGTTTGCTTTTAAGATTTTTTTTCTCCTTATCACTGAGTTAGAGCAATTTGATTATTGTCTGTAGTGACTTTCAGCATTTTAATTATGTTTTATTTTCTTTTTTGATTCTGACTGAGGTTCGCTTATTATCAAATCAGGAAAATATTTGGCCATTATTTATTCTAGTGTTTTTCTGCAGCCACCACTGGAACTATTACATATATGTTAGATTCATTGATATTGTTGTACATGTCATTGAGATTCATTTCTTTCCCAGCCTTTTTCCTGTGACCTTTAGTTATGATATTTTTCTGTTGACTTAACTTGGAGGCCTCTGATACTGTGTTCTGGGCTATCTAATCCACTGATAGTGCATCCAGTGAGCTTTTCTCTTCATATTCATATTTTTCTGTGTTATTTTATCAGCTCTAGAAGTCTCATTTGGTGTCCTCTCTCTCCCCTTTCCCTCCCTATCTCCCCCCTCCACTTATCTTAAATATTTATGTTTTCCTTTAAATTAGAATTCAACAAACTTTCTATAATGGGCCAACTAGTATTATTTTAGGTCTTATAGGCCATAGAGCCTGTCACAGGCTATATGTTATTATTTTAGCATAAACAGAACTAATCAGTGTGTAAATGAATGAATAGGGCTGTGTTCTTGGAATTTTATTTGTAAAGCAGATGGCAGACTGGTAGTGACCCTGATCCTAAGTTTGTCAATTCCTGCTTTAAATCCTTAAACAGATTTATAGTCACTTTTAATGTCCTTGTCTGCCAGTTCCATTTTCTTTGAAATTTCTGAGTCTATTTCTATTGATTAATTTTTCTGGTTATAGGGTCATATTTTCCTGCTTTTTACATGGCTAGTGATTTTTTTTTTTTTTGAATGCTGGACATGTGTTAAATTTTTGGTTGTACGGATTTTTTCCCCCTTTATATAGCACTGATTTTTGGTTGACTGGCAAGGTACCTGTGGATTGAGCTTGATCTGTTGCAGGCTTATTTCAACCCCTTGGAAACCCATAAGAAGCAGCCTTCAGGCTAGGGCTGGTTCGGTCCTACTAGAAGGCATGGCCTTTCTTTCTAGGGTGCTTGAGCACAAATGTTCTTTCTAGTCCTGTATTCACCCTTAAGTATTATTCTTCTTATAACCCCCCAGTAATTGGTCTTTTCCTATTAGTTGTTTCTTTGAAGCACATGCTCCTGGAGTCGTGAGCTTCATGGTGTTCGTGGAGTTACACATTAGCATGCAGCACAGCTTTTTATGTCTGTGTCTTATGTGGTACCCAGGCTGATTTCTATAGTCTTCCTCTGTGTAGCTATCTTTTCTAGTATTCTGTCTCACAAATCCACCTGCCTCAGCCTTCTCCATGAACTCGGATCTTCTTCTCAAGTGAGCAAGCCCATCACGCTTTGCTTGGGGTGCTCCTCTTTGGAACACACATTTTTTTCCCCAGATATTCAAAAAGCTGGAGTCATCATAGGGTCTCCACATTTATATTTCTTCTCTTAATTAAATGCCCTATGCTGCCTGTGTATGTGTCTGAAAATAATTTTTCCATAGCTTGTTCAGTTTGCTGTTTGCTGAAGGAATGGATGTCTACCGTCAGTTACCTCATCATGCTCTGAGGCAAAACCCCTCGGCGACAGGGCAGGATCCCTAGCCTTGATCCCACGACTGTTGAAATTTACTGCTTGGTATATGTGTAATTTTGTATTTTATGGTGGTTGTATCCAATTTACCTTTCGATTTATACTATAGCCGTATGAGTTATTAATGTTCGTTCTGTCACCCTGTCTGGCCCTGAAGCTGCGTAATCATGACTTAATAGTGTGATTATAGAAGGATATATATATATATTGCTTTAGTTGAATGAACAATCTTTAGGGGAAATACTCTCAAAGTATTGAAAATGTTCCCTTTTAGAATCACTAAAAATTAAAACTTGGTAAATATTTTATTTTATTGGATAATGTATTTATTCTGTACATATTTATTGTGTACATATTTTAAATCTATATTTTGAACTAGGAATGTAGTTTTCTGTATTTTTTTTTTCCTAGAAAAATCCCCCACCCCTGAATCAAGCACAGAGCCTCAAGCATCCTAGGCAAATGCTCTAACACTGAGCTACCTGTAGAATATTTTTGCTTGGTTTTGTTTTTTATAATTCATTTTTAAAGTTCAGCTATAGTCTGTACTTACAGCAGAGGAGGACAGTTATGTGGGAACAGCATAGTCAAACTCTGGATTTTTTTTCTTTTTTACTTATTGATACCTTATGTCACTTTTGAGTTTTCTAATAGTGGAAGTTAGCTTGGGGAGCTTAATTGCTTCTGATAGTATTAAAATTATGATAAATTTTTAAAAATAATTGTATTAGTCCATTTTAGGTAATGATAATTTTTTTTCTCATGATGTAATTATTCTAGTTTTCTTTGTTTTGTTTTGTTTTGGTTTTGGTCCTGGGATCAAACTCAGTATGTTTCACTTGCAAAGCAGGCAGCAGAACCACTGAGCTAAATCCCCAGCCCTTGATGCAGTTATTCTGAATACCACAAGCTCTAGAGACTTTGTTTTTGTTTTTTTGTGTGTGTGTGTGTATTGTTTTTTGCTCGTTTGCTTTTTATAGGATAACAAAAATAATCTTATTTTCCCTCAACTGTGGTAACTCCTTAATGTTTATAATATTCGAAGAAACAACCTGTAGATTTCATGACTAGTCAAAACTTCAGAAACCTTAGTAATCAAAAGTTTTCTTTTAAAAATCTTCTGTAAATGTTTTAAAATATAGATTTGAGGGAGGGTACAGAGGCAGGCTGCGGCAGGCACCACTGAGCTAAATCCCCAGACCAAATATAGATTTTTTTTTTTCCCTTGGTACTAGGGATTGAACTCGGGTCCTTGTGCTTGCGAGGCAGGCAGTGGAACCACTGAGCTAAATCCCCTGCCCCCAAATATAGATTTTTTTTTTGATCTAGAGAAAACCTAATAAATAATACTTCATTTTTTAGATTTTATTATAACCCATTTTATTTTTTAATTTAATGCATATTTAGGGATAATCTGACTCACTTATGAGAAGTAAATAGAGAAATCTTTAATAGAAACCTTCAGATTCATAAATATTCACACATACTTGGACATATGTGTAATTCTATAAAAGATTTTCCTTCAGAGCAGCTAACGGCTAATGTTGTACACTAGAGGGCATCAGTCTTTGCTTAAGGGCCCCAGGAATTTTTTTTGTGGGGGGGTGGTGAGTTGTACCGGGATTGAACTCCAGTTCTTGTGCTTGCGAGGCAGCGGGTGGAACCACTGAGCTAAATCCCTGGTCCAGGAATTTATATTTTTAACCAACTCCCTAGTTGACTCTTGTATAGACATCTTATCTTATGTATTTAGGAACAGTTGTGCTTAAGACTTTATCACAGTTACACATGTAAATATGAATTAAATGATTATTCATTGGTAGGTTTTCAAAACCAACACAGCAACATAAAAATTTCTGTAGAAAAATTTGCTTTAAAAAATACTTAAAGTGATATTCTCAGATAGTACCTAAAAGTACAGAGGCTTAAGAAGTTTTTATCACAGGGATAACATTCTGACAAGTAAATTTGGATAAGTAAAGTAAAAATCAAGTCAGAACCTGCAGGAGTGCTTGCCATGGGCTAAGATTAATGGGGTGTGTGGGGGAAAGTTGGACTGTGCAGGAACACAAGGGAACTTTTTGCAGTGATGGAAGCCTTCTGTAGTTTGTTTGTGGTTATATGTCTGAATATGTTTATCAAAGCTTACTGAAATGTGTACCTAAAAAGAGTGATTCTTAGGTCAGGGTATGCCTCGCAAGCACAAGGTCCTGAGTTTGGTCCCCAGTACTGGAAAAAGAAAATGCCAAACAGTGACTTTTATAATATGTAAGTTACATCTCAGTAAGTGTAAATTTTTTTTAAAGTCAAGCTAGGTGCTGGGGATATGACTTAGTGGTAGAATGCATTCCTAGCATGCACAAGGGTTCAATCTCTAGATTATTATTACTCAAAAATAATAATAAGCCAGGAAGAGATTCAAGAAAGGATTATTTTATCATATTACAATAACTGCATCTTGAAATAACGTAAATCTTGCTCTTACGTGTTGATAATTCCTTTTTTGTTACTACTCTCATCAAAGTTGTTATGTGTTTGTTTTCCAGGGCCCACACATAGCTTCAGTTACATTAGCTGCTTATGAATGCAATTCAGTTAATTTCCCTGAACCACCCTATCCTGATCAGATTATTTGTCCAGATGAAGAGGGCACAGAAGGAACCATTTCCTTGTGGAGTATCATCTCGAAAGTTAGGATTGAGGCCTGCATGTGGGTAAGATATGTATTTTCATATTTGTCTAAAACTAACCTATCTTGAGACTGGGTTGTTCCTTTAAAGATGAAATCGAAACATAATAAAAACTTAATAAAGAATTCATGGAGGGCTGGGGGTTTGTCTCAGCGGTTCTGCTACCTGCCTCTCAAGCGCAATGGCCCGAGTTCAATCCCAGGTACAAAAAAAAAAAAAAAAAAAAAAAAGAATTCATAGAGTCACTAGCTACCTATTTCCAAGGCAAGAGTTCTTTTAAAGGTTCTTCTAATTGTGAATGACATTAACAAGAAAGGCATGGAATTATACACACCATGAAGCAACTATGCTAAGGAGGCCGCAGCAGGGAAAAGGAGTACACATAATAGAACTATATTACTATGTAAAATTTGATCTAGTGTTTGTACACCTGATACCTATTAAGTAGTTGATATGTAAATGATAGACTGTTAAATGTTGTGTGTCTTGAAGGTTAAAATGCTGCATTTGTTTACTTTCAGAGTTTTTATAATGCCACAGTATGGTGAGATATTTCTTCACAGAAATCAAACTTTTATAACAGTGTCTGTTTCAGACTATATAGTTATACATGGTCATCTTACTTTCAGTTGCACTAGTTCTTTTTGTGTTTTGCTTATTTTAGGAACAATTTTTGGGCAACATGTTCAATTACAGATGTATTTTAATCCATACAAGTTGTTTTGTTTTGTTTTTGCTATGTGCCTAAATTTATTCAGATGTCTTATCATTAAGAAGTAATTCATTTTGGTTAGTCTTGGTGACTCATACCTGTAATCCTAGTACTTGGGAGGCAGAGGCAGGACGATTCTGAGTTTCAGGTTAACCTAATCAACAAAGCAAAAGAATCAAACAAAATAATAATAATTAATTTAATTTACTAAAGAATTCTTTTACCATTTGAATTATTTTTTAACTCATTGTTTGAGTTTGTATATTCCTATACCTTTTTTTACCCTAGCAATTTCTTAGGAAATAAAAGAATGTAGAATAGTTCACTTAAAAATCTTAACTCATTAAAATGACCATGAATACCATGGCAGGGTTTTAAAGCACAGTTAAATCTTAGCAGTTATGTTTTGCTTTAAAAGAATTACAAAGGAAATATTGAATATGGAAGATAGGAAAAATTGTCATGGTTCCTGTTGTTCTCTTATAAATACTGGAAACATTTATTACACTAGTTGAATATGTTTTATAAATTTGATGACACTAGTCTTTAGATGAAAAATTATGGTTAGAATAACAGCAGATACTTGGAACGTACATGAAAAGGAACTATATATAAATTTTAGTTTTGTGTTTTTGTTAACATTATGCTTTTGGTCTTTCAAAAATTGTTCATAAGGCTGTAATAAAACTGAAGATAAATGGAAAAGCATCCATTCTCCCAACAATGTTAACTACCTTCTTCAAATTCCATAATGTGTTTTGTCAGTAGTGCTTATTTGGACTGACTTCACGAATGCCTTAAATTTATCTGGCTTAGTGGCTTACTTTCCCAAATAAAATTTAGGCTCATAAAGATATACAGACTGTGCCTTAAATGTGTCACCGTCACAGTGGTCAGCATTAGACTTACACATAATAGAGGAATGCTAATATATTCCAAATAATTGATCTAATGTTTGATCATTCTTATTATTTCCTTCTTTGGAGCTGTTATATAAAACTAGCACACATCAGGCCAGGGATTTAGCTCAGTGGTGCTGCACCTGTCTCGCAAGTGCAGAGTCCTGAGTTCAATCCCCGGCACCAAAAAACAAAAACAACAAAAAAAGACTAGCACACATCAAGTGTGGTGGCACACACTTATAATTGCAGCACTTGGGAGGCTGAGACAGGAGCGTCACAGCAAGTGTAAGGCAGACAGCCTGGGTGACGTAGTCAGTTCAAAGCCAGTCTGAACTACATAAACCCTGTTGCCCTGCCAAAAAAAATTGATTTTTATTGTTCTCAGCCTTTACAAGAACAGTCTTTTTAATAAATGCTCTGAAAAATCTGAAAGAAAAAATGAAGATAAAGTCAACCTTAATTTCAGCTTATTCATATATAGTTTTTTAGGGCATATAGAATGAATGAATTTTTTTTTTTTTTTTTTGAGGCAGGGTCTCACTATGTAGTTGAGACTGACCTGGAACTCACTATGAATTATATTTTTAATTCATAGGCTCTCTTTTTCAGTTTGCAACTATGTTAGTCACCTTTCCATTACTGTAACAAACACCCCATTCATAAAGAAAAGTAAGGTTTACTCTGGTTCTTGGTTTTAGAGATTCCAGTCTGTGACTGACTGACCCCGTTTCTTTCGGGCCTGTGGTGAGGCCCTGTGACATTGCTGCTGGGAAGCCCAGGATGGTAATTTTCACATCAGACCAGTGAGAAACAGAAAGAGAAAGAGTAGGAGACCAGCTTCCCACAGCCCCCCTTCAAGGGCATCGCCTAAGCCAGTCAGAGTGCCAACACTGTAATTAAACCTGAATGCTGAGATTTCAGTTTAGAAAAAACAACTCATACATTAACATATTTCGTCTTAAAAGAAAAACAACTAATGCACATGTTATAGGTCCTCCACCACGGGTAAGCCTCCTGGTGAGGAATCTACCACCCATGAGATCCCTAAACTGGGGAGCCAGCCTTTAACATGTGGATTGTTCGGGGCAGTTCCCTGCGGAAACTATTTATAGCAGCATCTTTTTGAACTTTCACAATTTGACTGTTTACCAGTGCTCACCTTTTCAAATTTGCTTTTCAGTCCTGAAGTCCGTAAATAGTTATTAAGCATCTAAGCACTGAGGAGTTGGTGTCTACTGTGATTGAGTGAAAAAACAAAAAACAGTTTAGTACTCCAGGGAAATACTGTGTTTATCACTTGGTTTGAATGTTTGTAAACATAGGAGTTTAGGGTAATGTATCGGTATGTGATGATTTTGTAGGCAGACTTTCTGAAGTAATGCTTGGTGAAATATGCACTGCTTGTCCATTTGCAATAAGGAAAGGAGTCATTCTTTCCCTTTAATTAAATATAGGCTAACAGTTTTTAGTGTTCTGCGTGTGGGTTTTTTGTTTTGTTTTTGTACTGGGGATCGAATTCAGGACCTTGGGCTTGGGAGGCAGATAGCGGCACCACTGAGCTAAATCATATCATTCCCCACCCCCACCCCCACGCGTTCTGTAGTTTTTGTTTTGTTTTATATATAAACAAACATTAAGGTTTGGGTTTTTCCTTTTTCCCCCAGGTGCAAGGGCTGAGCTATATGGGCAGCCCTTTTGTTTATGTTTTGTGTTGAGATGCGGTCTGTCTCATGGAGTCCAGGCTACCTTGGAAGTCTGTCCTGCCTGTATATCAGCTGTTTCCAAGGCCTTGGCAGCATGTGTAATGTTCCCGCATACTCTGTAGACGAGCTCACCCAGTCTCAGCTCTAGATTTGGTTCTCTCTTTCCTTTTTTTTTTTTTTTTGCGTGCTGGGAGATTGAATCTAGAATATTCTATATTTGAAATTTTATAATCACAGAATTGTTCTGTGAGAATTGTGAAATCGTGAGACTTCAATTCTGATTTGAGGTAATAGACTAATTTTTTTGTGTCTAGGACATAGTGTGTTTTGGGAAACCTACTTGGTTGATTATATTCCCTTTTATATTATTTACAATAATATAAATACATAATAGAATACAGAAGTGATCACCATTCTTGCTACTTATTAAAATGGAGACATCTTAGCAGAGTTAAAACATAACAAGTATGATCAACTAAGATATTATATAGCTCCTGATTTCAGTTTAGTCCATTGTTACTTCCTTTTTGACTAGAAGGGAACTTGTCATGGGTTTGAATCATGTGATTGCATTCAGAACTGTTGAACACTGATTTCACATTTGAACTTTACACTTGTACTTAAGAGAAGTTCACATTTTAAATAAGATGTTGTAATGAGCTTTTTTTTTTTTCTTACTTATGGAAAATTTACCTAGAAGTACAGAGAATTATAAAATGAATTTAGTGTACTTTTACCCACTTTCCGCCTATATTAACTCATGGCTAATACTGTTCGATTTATACCTGTCCTCACTCTCCTCTCAGTTATTTTATAGCAGATTCCACATTTCATCTGTGAATATATCAGCCTTAGGGCTTAAAAAATAACATACCTAAATGAAATTAGTCGTAGTCCCTTTAAATCTATTATTTAATTAGTGTTCAAGTTTTTCTCTTTTCAAATCTATATATTAATGAAATGCATTTGTCAAAGTTTCACACAGTCTGAATTTTACTGATTGCATCATGGTTGGTGCATGTCCCTTCTTCCCTCTGAGATGATAGATTAAGAGGTTTGAAGGATTTATTTTTTCCTTTTAACAGGCGTGTACTTCATAATTTTGTATACTTGTGTCACCAGATTTAATAATATGTTTATCTTTTTTGAAATATTAGCACCAGTGGCAATCCATTATTATATAAGTGCATTATTTTATTAGAGGTTATAAAATAGTGATGTTCCAATTATAGCTCTTTTTTTTTTTTTTTTTTTTTTTTTTTTTTTAAAAGGGGTTTTTTTTTTTTTTTTTTTTTTCTGAAACAGGGTCTTGCTATGTTGCTATTCTTACCTGGGTGGCCTTGGGCTCAAAATAGCCACCTAAGGGCCAGGGATTTAGCTCAGTGGTTCCGCCACCTGCCTTGCAAGCAAAAGGTCCTGGGTTCAATCCCCAGTGTGGGCGGGGGTGGGAGGAAGCCATTTACCTCAGCCTCCCAGGTAGCTGGGACCACAAACGTATAGCTCTTTCCCCAGAATAGTCCCCCACCCCCACCCCATAATGAGCGTTGAACCTCAGGGCTTTTGCACTGAGCTATATTCCTAGCTTTTTTAACCCCCTAGGAGTAGAGGTAGGGGAGATGAAGACAGGGTCTTGCTAAGTCACTAAGTTCCCCACGCTGGGATGCTCCTGCCTCAGCCTTCCAAAGTGCTAGAATTACAGGCATACAGCACCAGACCTTGCTTTAAAACCTTGCTGGGGATTTAGCTCAGTGGTTCTGGTGCATGCCTCACAAATGCAAGGGCTCGAGTTCGATCTCTGATACCCCAAAAAAATGTACTTTTACCAAAACAATAAAATAAAATACTTACAGATAAACCTTTTATTATCACTAGTTTGGTTACTCTGACATTTAGTTCATATAGGAAAGTAAGGGTAAATACTTGCTTGTTTCCCTTTTAACAATTCTTTTTTAAAAACGTTGGCTTTCTATCCTCCTGAGTTAACCTGTTTTAACTTTTCTTGCTTAGCAGCTGCCACAGCTTTCCTCATGGTAGCCCACCCTGCTTTCTCCAGGTTGTTTATCTTCCTTTTTCCTCTTTTACTTGGCCCAAGCTTGCTCTGCACAGCCAGTTTCTCCCTCACTCTTTGCTTTTACTTTTTCAAATAAACTTTGCCAATGCTTTACGCTCATTAAAAATTTTTTTTCTTGTTTAGCAATGTATGATTTGTATTTCATTGCCGTATCCTTTTATTTATTTTATTTATTTATTGGTACCAGGGATTGAACTCAGGACCCTGTGCTTGCAAGGCAGGCACCAGCACCACTGAGCTAAATCCCTGGTCCCCATATCCTTCTATATACGTTTCCTCCCTTTCTTCTTATCCCTTTCTCTCCTCCCCTTCCCCTAGTTCTTTAGATATAAGCTTACTGGGGAGTAGGGCTGCAGCTCAGTGGTAGAGCACTTGCCTAGCGTGCCCAAGGCCCAGGATTCCGTACCCAGCACTGCAAATAAAATAAGAAATAAACATGTAGGGATTTTTTTTTTCAGCTTTAATTGAGTTTATTGGTACATTTTAGGGATACAGTAGGGATTTTTTTTTTTACACTTAAATATGTTCTTTTTCAAAACACTTGTTTTACATGGGGACAGTTAATGTACACTTCTTGGCGATTGTTGGTTCCACACAGTAAGGTCACAAAATGTTTCAACTTGGTATCATTTTTTGTGGGTTATCTTCAAGACTTCTAGAAGCAGCACCTCTTTTGGACATAGTGTGAAAGGGTTAAGTTGCTTTAGAGACTAGCACAGTTTTTTCATTCATTGTGACTCAGGGTAGAGAGCAGTCTCTGTCTGGCTCAAAATTGACTATTTCCTTAGCGTCTGAGTGCCTGTTGCATTGTTACTTATCCTGTGTTTAAGCCATCTAAGTGTAAACCAAGTTCCTGGTTCATTAAACTGTGTTTTCTTCCTTATGTCCTAAATTGATTAGAAAAAAAATTCTTTTCCAAAACAAAAGTCAACAAAGTGACTGAAACATGACTCACTCATGTTCTGAGGAAATTAAACATTTTTCCTGTAGTGAAAATTTACCCATCTTACTGTTGAGTTTTAAAGGGGCTTCCAGGCTACAATTTGTTAGAAACTCTAAAACAGCACGCACGCGCATGCACACACACGTATTAGAATTAAAGCAACATCTGAAATGTCACATTTCCTAGAGAATATCAGCTGTTCTGCTGAACTCTTAGTACCAAGTCATTTGCACATCGGAAAAGCAGCCAGGGGGCTGAGAAAAAATAACAGACCCAGGGGGAGATGCTAGATGAATGCCAGCAGAGTCTAAGTTCTATATATTACTTTGCTGGCATCGCAGAACTGGAGTTAGGGCCGTTTTCAAGCTGTTAACCTTTCAGTGATGTAGCTTAGTGATACAGAAGAGCATTATTTTGTTAAGCGTCCGTGCATTAGAAGCAGAGGACCTCATTCTGAGTATTTTGGTTTCACCTAGGGTATTGGTACAGCAATCGGAGAGCTGCCTCCATATTTCATGGCCAGGGCAGCCCGCCTCTCAGGTGCTGAACCTGATGATGAGTACCAGGAATTTGAAGAGATGCTGGAACACGCAGAGTCTGCACAGGTAAGAAGAATGGGAGAACGAAACACTCTCCAGACAGGTTGTTATTAAGGCAAACTGTTAATAGTTACTCTAATGAAGAAAACTCATAAAGTGAGAACAAAATGAGATATGACTTGGGGTAGAATGTTCAGAGAAGCTGAGAAATAAAAATGATAAGAAATGTTAATAAACAAAAATAAAAATGAGCCGAGTATGGTGGCCCCTGGCCTGTAATCCCAGCATTCAGGAGCTGAGGCAGGTTGACTGCCACAAGTTCAAGGCCAGCCTGGACTACACAGAGTTCTAGACCAGCTTGAACTGCATGGTGGGACCTTGTCTCAAAAAAACAGAAATAAATAAATACTTTAATAGGTCTGGATATGTACTTCGATTGTATCGCACTTACCAACAACACACTAGTCAGTCATTTCAAGCTAAGAATAGAGAATTTCTGCGTCAGTAAGATAACACATATTAAGTCAAAGCACCTTGTCAAAAGAGTAAATTCATGCCCCTACTGACTTTCAGACACCGAAACGCAATTCCTCCAGTATGTTTGTAAGGACTGCGTTACCAAGCAGCCCTGAGTGTGTAGAGAAGGGAATGCGCTGGTGGACTGGGTGCTGAGCCCAAAGCGATCTTCCAAGTTTTACTTACTTACTTACTTATAGGGATTGAACCAGGGGCCTCACTTGTGTAAAGCAAGCATTCCACCATCGAACTACATTCCCACCCTTTTATAATTTTGAGACAGCATGTTGCTGAGTAGCCCAGGCTGGCCTTGAATTTATGATCCTCCTGCCTCAGCTTCCAGAGAAGGTGGAGTTACAGATGTGTGCCGCCATACCTCGCTCTGAATTAATTTTGTAAAAGTAAGATCAAATATAGTTCATGATGTTTAAAGAAAAAATCCTGGTAACTGCTAATTAAGAAGACAGTTGGGACAAACACCTCCTTTATCACTAGAGAAACAAGTTGATATAAATTAGTAGCAAGAAGGTTAGAAGTCATTTTCTTCCCCTAGGAACTTCTGAATCTCACCTGTTTATAAATTGAGATTCTTAATGATGCAGAAATAAGGTGGCTTTCAGAGAAACTTCATCCAAAATTAATCTCTCCTTTCTCTGAACTTCATAACAACTTGATTTGTGTCTCCCTTAGGAATTCATATAATGTGGGTGTTTATATAGGATCCATTTCCTCCTTGAAAGCAGATATTTTCTGAGTGAATATATAAATTGTATAATATTATTAAAGAGTTATTAAAGCTTTAAATTGGTAAGCAGTAAGGAGTATTAAACTTAACAATAGCAGAATTTCTTTTTAAAAAATATTTAACAGTTCAGACTTTGTAGCAGTCCAACCAGCCTTTGTCCCTGTCCGATGACTGTATCCTCGAAACAGGCAAGGTACAGGACCCTAACACTATATCCCTTTTTTAGCCACTCTATAATGTCATTTGCTGAGGCTTTTTTGACCTCAGTATAATCTGTGTAACAATTTCTCGGTGCTTCACAGTAGTTATTTTATCTTTAGGAAGATTCCTGACAACATTGTTAGATGATTGAGTCTTTACAGGTGAGCTCAGAAAGCAACCTAGATGCAAATAAAATGGATTTTAAAGAGAGACATTTGAATGAATTTACATAAAATATATCTTCTGTCAGACTTGTTTGTTAGCCATGGAATTGAAAATTTTTCTGGCTGGGCATAATGGTATGTCTGAAATCCCAGCACTTGGGAGGCTGAGCCAGGAAGTTCGCTGAGAGTTCAAGGCCACCTTGTGCTACATAGTGAGCTCGAATCCAGCCTGCACTAAAAAGTGAGATCCTGTCTCAAAACGCACACACATGTTTTTTTCTTTTTTTTTTTTTTACTGTTGTGTGTTTGTAAGATGTATCCACACCAGTGCACTTTTTTTTTTTTTTTTTTAATGAATGACTTTATAATTTTCTTCTTGGAAATTGGAGACCTCCTAAATGGGAAGAAGAAATTTTAACAGCAAGTGGGCTTTTAAAATTAAAGTTTTTTTTGTTTCTTTCTTTGTTTGTTTTTTGAGACAGGGTCTCCCTGTGTATCCCTAGCTGGCTTTGAACTCATGGCAGTCCTCCTGTTTCAGCCTCCCAAATACTGGGACTTACAGGTGTGTATCATCACACTTGGCCAGAAAAAGAATATTTTTAAATGGAAATCAACTCAATGTATTGATAGTTTATGGTTAGAAACACAAATTTCAGTGTGAATATAGAATAGTCATATAGAACAAATAAAGTAAAATAAAGAACATGGCAGACATGGTGGTGCACACATGTAATCCCAGCACTCGAGGCTGAAGCAGGAAGATCACTGTGAGACGACCAGCTTGAGCTGCATAATGAGTTCAAGGCCAGCCTGGACTATATAGCAAGACCCTATCTTTTTTTTTTTTTCTTAAGAGTAGGAGAAAGTTATTGAGGGAAAGAAAGCTCCTGTCTAAGAGAGACAGAAGGGGGACAAGAAAATGGTTTGCCCGCTCACCCCACTTCTCAAAGATGTTTTATACAGCCAAGCCATATGGTGAGGTGAGTTCTAAGTGGGACAAAACTAAAAGACGCAGTGGAAAATTACAGGGTGGGCATGAGGTAGGGCAAAACCATGACCAACCAATAAGATTACAAGTACAAGGGGTCGTGGATTTAGATCAGTGGTTCTGCCACCTGCCTCACAAGCACAAGGTCCTGAGTTCAATCCCCGGTACCAAAAAATAACAAGATTTCAAGTACAGCCACCCAGGTAATATTAAATGGGGTCAAGTTGGGGAGCAAGTCACATAGCAAGTGTACAAGGATTTTAAGTAAGGGTGGGGGTTAAGGATGTTGGAAGGCTGGGTTAAGACCTTGGATTTAGAATATCAATCACTGTTTTTTATCCCCAAGGGAAACACAAGGATATAGTAGTTTCCTTTTACAATTCTGGCCTTCAGTGAATGTGTCTTTATTGTCTTCCATGTTGGCTCCTTGCTGTGTTGCCTCCTTGAGGATGATCATGTCTAACGGCCTACAAGATATCTAATTAACTTGCCTATCTGCACTTTCCCCCCTCTGAAGAAGTACCTCTATGGGCTGTGAGGGGGCAAAGGGTGAAGACAGCTCTGACTACTTCCAGCTGAGGGGAATCGTAGTTGTGATCAGCAGTTAGAGTTACTCTACAGAGGGGTAGCCACCTGGCATTGTCATCTTGGTAACTGCATAGCTTTAAGTCAAATATGAGGGATCCTGTAGGATAGGTTCATTTGTGTCCTAGATCTTGTAGACCTTGAGGGGCCAAGGCCAAAATATTGGCTATCTTCATATCCCAGTTACCTTTTTAGTTTTGGTCTCCAAACATTCTGGAAGCTTTGTCTCCATCCAGTAATCTCAGTGGAAGACCTCCAAAATGATATAGAGGGAAGAGATGAAACTCCCAAACCTGTTAGACATCCAAAATGTGAGTTCGTGTTCTCTAAAATCAAAGAATGAATTCTAGAAACAACGGAGGTTAAGAGTAGGAAAATTTATTGAAGGAAAGAAAGCTTCTGTCTAAGAGAGACAGAAGAGGGACCAGAAAATGGGTTGTCCCAGCAAGACCCTATCTTAAAAAAATATGTGTATATAGACAACATTTGAAATTATGTTTACACTGATGGTATAGCTAAGTTGCAGAGCACTTGCCTAGGGTACATGAAGGCCCTAGATTCCAAAAACAATTTTTAAAATATTTTTAATAACTTAAATCTAGAATGTAATGCCATCCCTGTCTAAACTCTGAGGTAATATGAAAAGGTACCGTACTTCTAATTTATTGGAAAACTGAAGGTCTCAAAGTTGTTACCTTCCTAATTTCACATACTTAAAAATAGAACCCAGACTCAGAATGCCAGTGTCCCTGGTGTATTCCTGTTAGTGAACCAGCCCATCCAGGAAGTAGACGAATGAACAAGTGTCCCTGCTTGTTACAGCTGATGCCTCTGCTAGTCGTGGCACTAATATTAGTGTCCATCATTTAACAGCTCTAAAACTTTTTCATTCATACTAAATCAACAAGTCAAAATAGAATAACTATAGCTTGCAGCTGTAGAAATTTGTGCCATGTCCTCTTAAGCTAACTAATGTGCTGTGATTATTCTTCCTTTTTTAAGGCTTTTTGGTTTGGTTTGGTTTTGGGGTTTTTTTTTTAATTAATTTTTTTTTTTCATTTGCATGGTTTCTTTAAATCTCTGTTTTTCTTCTCACCTTCCACTGGCTCTGTAAAAACATCTCTTGATATCACTTCTGTAAAATAATATAAATTGTGCCAGGTACAGTAGCTCATGGTATTTGGGAGGCAGAAGCTGGATGATCCCAAGTTCAGGCCAGCCTGGGCAATTTAGTAAGACCCTAACTTGAAAAATAAAAGGGACTGGGGGTGGGTGGGTGGCTCAGGGGTGCAACGTCCATCAGTACCATAAATAAGCCTTCTTGTCATGGAGTTGGCACTCCAGAGCCATCCAGGCACCTTTCCCAGCTGGGCTTGCTGGGGTTGGTTTGTTAATACATGATTGTAGTGGACAACATTTACATTCCTTGTGGGGAGCTGGTATATGTATGTAACACATCTTAATTCCTTGTTTTGTCCCCTTCCCTTCCCTTCCCTTCCCACTCACTGTTTTTCTGACCTGCAGTTGCTTCTCTCACAGGCTGGATTTCCTGTCTAACTCAACTTTTCTCCTCTTTTGGTTGAACATACTCTGCAGTCACTTCCTAAGGACGAGTGAATAAAAAATGGGAAGCCTTTCATCTAACAGGCAGTTCCCTCGTTGATTAACTGAATACAGGGTTCTAGATAGAATAATGTTTTTATGGTTAAAATCTGGAAGGCACTGTTCAGTCATCTTCAGGCTTCAGCTGTTGGTCTTGACAGAGTTGATGCCTTCTGAGTCCTTTTTATTGACAGTATTTTTGTTTGGATTTTTCTCCTCTCTAAAAGTTTTTAATTTCATCATCTGAGATCTTGTTTAAATTTAT